AAATTACAGCACTCTGAAAAAAGAGTTGAAGAGGATATAAGAAATCATCCCTTGTCCTTGGGTATGAAGAATCAATATAGTAAAAATGGCCATACTTCCAAAACTGCTGTAGAGACTCAATGTAATCCTGATTGAAATCTCAACAGCATATTTCACACAATGAGAGAAAACAATACAAAAATTCATTTGGAACCAGAAGAGACCTAGAATAGCAAAAGCTATTCTAGGCAAAAGAGACATGGCAGGAGGTATCACAATCTCCAACTTGAAACTATACTACAAAACCATTGTGATAAAAACAGCATGGTACTGGCAAAGAAACAGACCCAAGGATCAGTAGAACAGCTTAGAAGATGCAGAAACAACTCCAGACAAACTCAGCTAGCTACCTCATCTTTGACAAAGGAGCCAACCATTGCCACTGGTGTAAAGATAGCCTCTTTAATAAATAGTGTTGGAAAAACTGGATTTCAATTTGCCAAATATTAAACCTAGACCCCTATTTTTCATCAAACTATAATTGAAGTGGATTAAAGATCTAAATATTAAAACAGAAACACTAAACTTGTTGGAATATAAGCTAGGTAGAACTCTTGAAGACAATGGCATAGAAAAAGACTTTATGAACAAATCCTCAGTAGCACGGGAACTAGCACAAAGTATCAACAACTGAGATCTCATCTTTTTAAAAAGCTTTTGCACTGCAAGAGAAATCACCAACAAAGATAAGAGACAACCTACAATGTGGGAAAAAAAATCACCAGCTATTTCTCAGACAAAGGTGTACTATCTAGAATATATAAAGAACCCAAAAAAAATCAGACCCCCAAATATAAAGATCCAATTCAAAAATAGGCATCTGAAATGAACAGACATTTCTCTAACAAAGAAGTAAAAGCAGCAAATAAATATATAAAAAAATGTTCCACATCACGATTCATTCGAGAGTTGCAGATGAAAACAACACTGAGATTCCACCTCATCCCAGAAAGGATAGGTGCTATCAAGAAATCAACCAATAACAAATGCTGGCAGAGGTGTGGGGAGAAAGGAACCCTTCTTCATTGTTGGTGGGAGTGCAGACTCTTGCAACCACTGTGGAAATCAGTATGTAGATACCTCAAACAACTAGGATTAGAAGTCCACTTGACCCAGCTATTCCCCTTTGGGGTATCTTCCCAAAAGAATTAAAAGAATCATACCACAGTGATATATGTCCACCCATGTTTATAGCGGCACAGTTTGTAATAGCTGAAACTTGGAAACAGCCTAATTGCCCATCAACTGGAGAAAGATGAAAGTGTGGTTTTTTTTCTAAATAAAATTGAGTACTACTCAGCCATAAAGAATGAGAAACTAGAGACATTTGTAACTAAGTGGATGCACATTGAGGCCATACTCTTAAGTGAAATTAATAGGACACACATGTGTAAAACTGTATAGTTTCTCTGGTGCCAATAAAGATCAAAATGTACAATTGATATTTTGTAATAGGAAGAAAGGGTCTAAAGGTATTGGGCAAATGGGAGGCATAGGGGAAAGGTAAAAAGGCAAGAGAAAAAAGAAGAGAAAAGAAAAAAATGGAAACAAAGTTTTTGTAAATAGGGAAGCATGGAGGGGGGAAGGGGAGGCTAGGGGAATGGGTCAAAAAATAAGAACCAAGATACGTCATCTAGAAAGGTACAAGATCCCAATGATGAATGTAACTGTACTGTATATCTAAAATGTACCAATAAAGATTCAGTTTATAATAAATAAAAACTCATTTTGGATAATTGAATAAAATGAAACCAACCTAGATGCAGTATAGTATAAAGAAAAATGTTTTAACTAAAGTTTTCTTAAAATATACACATAGTAGGCTTCTGGAATAAAGACTTGCACTTTCATTCTGTATTTTTTATGTTCTTAATATTTATTAAGGATGCATAATTCACACGTTTTTAATTTTTAAAATTAAATAAAGAAAAAAGATATAAAAGACTTACTTACTAGATCTTACTACAATACTATAAAATTTACTCTCTTTCACTGATAGTCATGGCCTAGAATCAGCCACTTGCCCTGTTTGCTGTTTGCCCCTTAGTTGAACAATTTATCAAATGTAAGAAACTGATTTTGCACCAGTTGGCTCAAAACAATTTGAAGCAAATTATTACATTTTTCAAACACAAAGTCGAAGTCACAGATGGGTTTTGAATCAATAATCATGGATGGTCCCATTTCCAATCTTTTTTTGGGTAACTCGGCCACCAAACAAGCAGCGATAGCATGTCAACTACAGTACACTCATGCGGAAAAAAATCATTAAAAAGACTTGCTTGAGTACAGCCTATAAGCTTAGCAAATCAGGTTCTTGTTTATGCCCTTTCTCGATGCCAGATTGACTGTGCATTATATGCCCATGTTCAATTTAGGGTGCCAAATGAAACTTACTAAATTAAGGAGTTATAGCAATTACCAAAAAAAGCCCTTCCTGTCCCATCTGGTGCTTCTTGCTTAAACTCCTCCCATCATTTTTACTGATATTTATACCAGTAAAAGTTCTTATAAATAATCTTGTAAATATTTATTTTAGCACTTATGCTGTAGTAGGCACTATATCAGACTTTTGGGGGATAGAGCAGTACCCAAAAACTAAAAGTAATGAGAAGAAAACAAATCAAAATCATTTTGAAAAAGTTGAAGCAATTTTTCATCAGGGCGCATACAGTATCTTCTCCTAAAATGTTCACAGAAATGTCTGACGTAGGTGCTCATACTAGTTAACTTTCTAATCACTGAGACACTATACCTAACACCCACAGTTTCAAGCAGGAGAGGTTTACTTTTGCTCACAGTTTAGAGGATTAAATCTATGGTTGGTTGGCTTCAAGGCACGAAGACAGTGGAAGGGTATAACAGAAAAGTTGCTTGATTCATGGTATACAGGAAGCAAAGCAAGGGAACAGTGCCTGAGAGGAAGGGGCTAGCAACCATATATACAGCCCAAAGTTACATCTCCATGATCCACCCAAATCTACCTAGAAATGTGCTTTATTAATCCCCTGGGTGTTTCTTAAGACAATCATGTTGACACAATCAAGGTTAACCATCAGAGTGCTAGAATGTGAAAGTGATTCAGATCCTGTCAAAAGTAAATTATTGGGACTTAAGTAATGGCGTTTTTTCCAAAATTGTCAGTATTGAATCACTTTGTAGAAGAAACTGAATTAATGGCATTATTAAGGTGAACATTGCATCAAATGCAGTTATCTATATTTATTCATTTGACAAAATATAGAAGTTTTAAAAGGGAGATTACTCCTTCTCCTTGGAGAGTTATAGTCTAATAACAAGACAGAATTTTTAAAAATCACCCCATTATGTGGTTCAAGTCACAATGGCACCATGTGGCACTGACAGGCTGCCTTAGAAGTCAGAATGGCATTACAGGAAGTCAGAATGGCATTACAGAGAGCTGAATGAAGACCCACAGGATAAATAAAATCATATAGCACTTCCCAGGTCAACATCAACAATATTCAACTCTTATGAAACATTTAAAATTGTAAATTTTGGAAAAAGTATAATGAATCCTTAAAAAAAGCTAACTAAACGTGGATTACAGTCCAGTAACACAACTTCTAAGTATATATCAGAGGACCTGAAAGCAGAAACCAATATTTGTGTACCCATGCCCATTTGCAATAGCCAAAAGGAGAAACAACAACTAGATGAATGGATAGACAAAATGTGATAGATACAGATGAAACACAGATAGAGATGAGAGATGAGAGAGAGAGAGAGAGACCGAGAGAGAGAGATTATTCTGCCTAAGAAAGAAGGAAATGCTGATAGGGCACAGAGGAACTTTGAAGACATAGCGCTAAGGGAAATAACCCAGTCACAAAACAAATGTTGTATGAGCCCCTTATATAAAGTGCTAAGAGAGTCACATTCATAGAGACAGAAAGTATGAAGGTAGTTTCCAAAGGAGAGAAAAAACATCTTATTTTAAAATGCTATTATTTCTACAGTGCTTATAGGAACTGAATTAAGAGCTACAAAGAGAATGGAGAATTTGTCTAATGGATACTGAGTTTCAGTTAAAGATGGAAAAATCCTAGAGGTAGATAGTACTGATAGAGTGAAAATCCTCAGTGTCACAGATCATATACTTAAAATTCTTAGAATGGTAAATTTTATGTTATATATATTTTTATCACAATAAAAACCATTATATGTTTTTTCCTAAATCATTGACTTTCAACACATTTTTTCATGTTCCAATCACCTTCAGTATAAAAAACTGCTTAGAGGATGAAAAAAATTAAAATCTTAATTTAGAGCTCATCAATCAGAAACAATAATTAATGGATCAAAAGCTATTTTTGTTGAGTATGCTCTGGAATTAATGGACTTCTAATTATTACCTTAAATGTTCAAACCTGTTCACTTGGCTGCAAAAATGCAATATGAAAAACTATAATTTCTTTCCCAAAAGTTTGAAGGTGCCAAGATGAAATGTTTCTCAGTTATTTGAAATAAAACAGGGTCAAAATTCACTTCCAAATCGAAAAAAAAAAAAGTGCATTTTTCAGTTTATGGCTTAAACACAAATAACAAAAGTGTCCCCATTGGATTAATTATGAAGGATAAAAATTTATGCCCTGAGAAATAATATTTTCAAGACATCTAAAGTGACCAGAAGCAGTATGTATTAACCAAAAAATTTAATCATAGCTGATATATTAAAATATTTATGACAGCAATCAGAGTTCATTGAAGTTGAACAGGCACCAAACACACACACACACACACACACACACACACACACACACACACGCACACACAGAATGGGAAAGAACAAGTTTTGAAATTATAGAAGAAGTAAGTTTTTGAGTCATTTGTATAGTTCAATATTCCAATTACACTTCTACTAGTTGCCTGTATTTTTCTATTACCAATAGTATAAACAAAATTATTTCTCATTTATAATAGAAGTTGACTCTACTTACTCTTGGTGGAAATATCTGAACATTATTTCCAGCTATGTCTAGGATTCTTAGTTTTTTAAGATCACAAATGCCCTGTGTCAGAGAAAAAAAGAGATTTTAAAAAATCTAATATCTAACATCAAAAGCATATCTTTTAGGGCAAACTTGAGGGAAGCGACAAACTTTTCCAGTTACCTGATTGATTCTTCAGTACCTCTTCTCAAAGATGATTCCTACAGATGGCCACACATCTTGAGTTCTGCTTTTCCTCTGACCAACCCAGGGCAATATAATATATTATAAGAAAGACTAGTTCTAGGTTCAAATCTCACCTCACCTTATTTGAAAAAATAAGAGTATGACTTACTAAATGATCTCAGCTATAAAGACATTTCTGATATGATCCACCTTTTTGATGGCTAATCTTCTCCCTAGGATATAGAATGTCTCTAGTCATGCCAACACTTTTCTGTTTGGTCTTACTACATTTTATCACAGGTTGGATTCTCTGAAAGCAGATGCTGAGGTGGAGATTTGGTACTGGGAGTTTTACAGGGATCATCCCTGTAAAAATCAGGATCAAGAAGTAGGATTGGACAAATGAAAAAGTCAAGGTGGGATACAGACCTAACAGAATCTCATCCAAGAGGTTGAGGAGCTCTAGAGTGGGTATTGCCCATCTAGTCTTTCAACTGAAAAGGCCAAGTCCATCACCCTTCCTTGCTCAGTCACAGGTACAGGAAAAGCATAACTTTGGGCAAGAAAGGAGGCTCCCTCCAACTATGGCAGACCCTGAAAGAGCTAATCACTGAAGCTGTCTGTTATTCTCATTTCTATAGATTTCATTCCTATAGCATGTCCTTAGACAGAAATTTGGCATCTACTATACACATAGTCCTCTTCTTAAGTCCCACGTACCTTTCTATTGTCAAGATACTCTTCTTACTATTGTGTTGGCTACAAACATTTTCAGACCGGCAATATGTTCTCAGTGTTCCTGAGTTAAAATATAAAGGTTTCCCAACCTATTCAAAAAACACTTAATAACACTACTTCTGTAGTTATTGAATTTCTTTTTCATTAATTTGTCACTGGCTGCCATGATGGTAGTCCAATGTTGCACTCGATATTTTTTATGTGGGTTTTTTAAATCTTTGCATATGCACATTCCCTACAAGTCTTTAAAATTTTTTTTAAACTTGTTTATTTTGAGACAGGGTGTCACTATATAGTTAAGGCTGGCCTTGAGCTCACTCTGTAGCCCAAGCTGGCCTCAAACTCAAACTCATGGCAATCCTTCTGCCTCAGCCTCCCAAGTGCGGAACTATAGGCATGCACCACCACACTTGGCCAGAAAAAGAAATTTAAGAAGAAAATATTTTAAAGATGTATTGCCTACCATTTTAATGTGTGTTCATGGATTACATAGATGATTTTAAAGAAAATATCTTCATAAGAAAAAATAAAACTATAGGTACTTTCCATTTGTATGTGGACTTTTTAAATCTGCTCTTTTTTCCCCTTCAATTTACTGTCATAATGTGTTCCCTACCAATTTAACTCTAACTTGCCTAAGGAAGGAAGGTAAATTCATCAACATATTCTTAGTAGGAAAAAACTCTCAAACTGAAAATCTGAGGCAAGTTTGATAAAGGTACTATTGATAAAAGTTTGCCTGGTTTTAGGTACACTGAGTTTCCACAAAAGGGGCTCCTTAAACCCACAATGCTGTCAGCAGCAGGGAGTCCTTACCATCCTAGTCCTAAAGAGCCAAAGAGAAACAGTACTGGTTATGAGAGGACCACCTTACATTAACTGTGGGCTTTCAGAAATGCATGGAACCAAAGTACCCTGCCAAAGAAGGTACCATGTGAATATTATCTGGTACTAACTTTTGCCCTTTCACTTCCTGCTAGTGTCTCTCACTGGCCAAATCCAAAAGACAGCCAGAAGATAAAGGAGCTCACTGATGTCCATACACGTAAGTCTCTGGCCCTGGGCAGGTTGGAGGAAGAGAACACACATAGAGGAAAAAATGAAAGTACATATTCCAGCATATATTCCAAAATCAAAAGAAATTTGTATTTTCTTCTGTATAGAAAGTTGATCAATAAAGCATATAATACTTAAATTTAAATTTTAGACAATGAATAATTTTCAGTATAAGTACATCCCATGATACATCTCAGATATGTTTATATTAAAGTTACTCATTGCTTATCTGAAATTCAAACTGAAGTAAGCACCATATTTTTCTTTACTAAATATAGTATCTCCTGGAACGATCCAAATTAAAACCCTCCTTTATTAGAAGAATTCAGGGATTGAGTCCATCTACTCTGAGTAAAAGTAAGTAATGGCTTGTATACCAACCTACAAAGCTGATCCAAACCACTGGCCATCATGTTGAGGTAAATTCTTGTCCAAAAACAAATAAACAAAAATGAGGCTTCTAATTTTGCTTACCTCTGGTAAACCCTCCATGTTGTTTCTAGCCAAGAAAAGCTTCTGGAGCTTCTTCAAGAATTTAATCTCTTCAGGTATGCAAATGAGTTGATTGTAGTTAAAATGAAGTTCAGAAAGATTCTCAAGGAAACAAAGTTCTCTAGGAATGCTGGTTAGCTGGTTATAATTTATACTCAAACATGTAAGACTTTTTAATCTAAAAGAAGTAAACAAAATACATGAGTGAAACTCACAGGAATAAGAAAGTCCATTGTATAAGCACGACTTATCAGAAGCTTGGATCATTTATTTTTTTTGTAGCTCATGGGAACTTACTTTAATTGTTTATAACTACTGTGAATCATTTGAACATAAAATGTTTTTACTAAAATTTAATTTTTAAAGATATTTTATGATTAGATAGCTATGTTTTAATATGTTATATAATCAACATCAAGGTTTAAGACAAAGGAAATTGTATTTTCATTCTTTAATACATATAAGTTGTCCACATCAATAAGGAAGCTAACGGACAAAGGAAAAATAAATATATATACTTTTTAAGAATAAAGTAAGTTTTTATTTATAGTCATAGTAAAGCAGGACGTCTTAACTTGCAAGACAGCAGCAGTATGTACAACATATTTTGTATTTCCATGGAATAAAATTAAAACAGCTGGAGACTAAAAGAATACACTAGAAATCAGCAAATGCCAGGAACAAGGTAGGAAAAAGACAAAGATATGAGGACTAAACACACAAAACCGTTCACTGGGATCAGCTGACCCACAGACAAAACCAAAGCTGGATCCCACAGTGGAGGTAGATTCCAGGGTAGAGGAAAGGAAATGGGGCAAGGGCAGGGCCGGAGGCAAACTGGGGTGCAGGTTTAGTACCAGGTAAAATGGTCTTTTATCTGCATTACAGAACCAGTTGGCTCTATTTCTTAAAAATACACATGAAAAGAAAGGAAGATACACATGCAGTTAATAACCAGATATGAACTGTGCTTAGTTGGTCTAGAAGATACAATGACACATCGGCTACAAATTCTGCACTTTTGGATATCACAATTTTGAAGGAGATATTAGGTTGAGCCAAAAAGTGAAGATAGAAAATGCTAATGCTATGAAGTACAGAAAAAGAAGATAGAGGAAATTTGAGTTCATAATGTTGGATGCACCTGAAGTATATCACGTTTTTTGGAAGAACTGACATTTTGAATTTGGTACTGAATAATGTAACTTGTAAAAGAGGGAATACCAAACTAAGAAAATATGAAAGGAACAGAAGGTAATTAACACTATAAGCTGCAACTGTGTACATGTGTAATAAGTTTAATCATCAGCATAACCCTGAAGTTGCAATTATTTCTCTTATTTTGTAAATGAGAAAAATAGTCAGTGGTAACAAATATTTTGCCCAAATTACCTGTCTAGTGAATAATAGTGTCAATTTTCAAATACAGATGTATGTGCTTTCAAAACTAAGAGTGAAGATACGCAATGATCTCAAGGTTTAATGTTGAGATTGAAGCAATAACTGAACGAGGGAACTAAATTTTGCAGCAGTTGAGAGTAGACGTTAGGAGAGTGATTGATACCAGTAAAGGGAATTTGAGGGAAAACTATATACATGATAGTGGAAGCCGAGTGCTAGGATTACAGGTGTGCACCACCACATGTAGCTACTACTCAACAGGGTTTTGTTTGTATTCTAATTGATAAATCAATTTTAAAATTCGCATACAAATTCAAAGGACTCAGAATAGTCAAAACTATTATTTAAAGGAAAAGAATTTTTTAAAAATAAAGAAACTTGCTTTCAAATATTACAATACAGCTACAATAATCAAGAGTTTGTTATTGAAAAAATGATAATACTATGGTCTGAATGTTTGTGTCCTTCCCCCATTCACGTTACAGCCTAATCACTAATTTGATATCAAGGAAACAGGAGGTGATTCGATCTTGAGGATGGAGCCTCCACAAATGGAATTAGTGCCTTTACAAAAAAGGCACTTGCCCTCTTTTGTGGCCTTGCCCTTTGTAAGGACACAAGAAGAAGGAGCCATTCCATGAGCCAGGAAATGGGACCTGAAGGATACCAAAGCTTCCAGCACCTTGTAATTTGATTTCTCATCCTCTAGAACTATGAATAAATTTTCTTTTTGTATAAGCTATTCAGTTAGAAAATAAACCAATGGAACAGAACAGAGTCCTGATGACCTATAAACAATCAATTTATTTTTTAAAAAGGTATCAATGCAATTTAAATGAGAAATCCTAGCACTCTGGAGAGGCTGTGGAAGGGGGATCGCAGCAAGTCTGAGGCCAGTCCGGGCTACACAGTGAGTTCAAGGGCAGCCTGGAATACCGCAAAAAAAGAAAGAGAGAGAGAGAGAGAGAGAGAGAGAGAGAGAGAGAGAGAGGAGACAAAGAAAGAGAAAGAAAAAAAGAAAGAAAAAAGAAAGAAAAAAGAAAGAAAGAGAGAAAGAAAAAAGAAAGAAAGAGAGAAAGAAAGAAAGAGAAAGAAAGAAAGAAAGAAAGAAAGAAAGAAAGAAAGAAAGAAAGAAAGAAAGAAAGATGTTAATCTTTCAATGAATGGTGCTATAACAACTGGATAAATGTAGGGAAGAAACATGAACCTTTACCTTTGCCTCACATTATGTACAAACCTTAATTCGAGATGGATCACAGAGTCAAACAAAGACTAGAACTTTTTGCTTTTAAAAAGAAATTTAGGATAGGATACTACCCTGATAAATTTAGGGAAGGCAAAGATTTCTTTAAAAGGCCACAAAAAGCACTACTTTTTTTTTTTTTTGGTACCAGGGATCGAACTCAAGCCCTTGTGCTTTCAAGGCAGGCACTAGAACAACTGAGCTAAATCCCTGGCCCAAGCACCAATTATTTTAGAATGTATTCATAATTAGGTTAAGTCAAAATTAAAAACTCTAGTTCACCACCGGCCATGTGGCACACACCTGTAATCCCAGCACTCCGGAGGATGAGGCAGGAGGATCGTGGTGAGTTCGAGATCAGCCTGGTCTACATTGTGAGTCCAGGAAAGTCTTAACTACATAGTGAGACCCTGTGTAAAAAAAAAACAAAAACAAAAACAAAAAAACCCTCCAGTTCACCACTAAGAAAATTAAAAGTTAAGCCACATGATGAAAGAAAATATATTTGTAAAAGATCTTGTACCCAGAATAAAGAAATCTTACAACTTAATTAACAAACAGCAAAATTTTTTTTTTTTTTTTTTTTTTTTTTTTGGTGCCGGGGATCAAACTTGGGCCCTTGTGCTTGTAAGGCAGGCAGCAGAACCACTGAGTCAAATCCCTGGCCCAACAGCATAATTTTTAATGAACAAAATACTAAAAGATATTTCACAAAAGAAGTTATATAAATGGTAAGACCATTTATAAGGTGCTTCACATCATCACATACTAGAAAAATGCAAACTCACAGTGAGATTTTATTCACACCCACTTGAATGCATAATTTGTTTAAAAATTGCTAGTTAGAATATAAAATAGTACAACCATTTTGAGAAAGCATTGTCAAATTTTTCAAATGTAACATATACATGTACTCTTATATGTTATGACTCTACAATCCCACTCTTAGGAATTGAAATGAGAAATAAACTTTCACTCACAAAGATTTGTACAAGAATATGCATGATAACTTAGCTTCAAACTAGAAATAACCCAAATGGAGATAAATAGGAGAAAAGACAAATGCTTTATGGAATACTCATACAATAAAATGTAACTCAGAAAAAACAAAAAATAAGTACTGATAAAGGCAACAGTAAGATTAATCTGAGAAAAATAGAAAAATACACCAAGCATAAGAAGGCACAAGAGATTACGCATACATTGTATGATTCCTATAACTTAGTGCTAAAAGAGGCAAAACTTTGTAGACATAGAAATCAGAATATTGCTTGCCAATAAGGAGTAAGAATTCAGCCGTGTGATGGTACACGTCTGTAATTCCAGCACTCAGGGCAACTGAAGCAAGAGAGTCACAAATTCCAGCCCAGCCTTGACAACCTCACAAGATTTTGTGTCACAACAAAAAAATAATAAAGGGCTGAGGACGTAGCTCAGTGTGAAGGCCCTGGATTCAATTTCCAATCCTATAAAAAACAAGAGGAGGAAGAAGAGGAAGGAGGAGGAGGAGGAGGTGGTAGATAGGAAGGATTCCCTGGAAGGGAGAATTTGTCAAAAGTCACTGAATTGTGCACACGTAAGTTTTATGTAATGTTTATTCAGCAGGCAGTAATGACCTTTAGAAATAATCTACAGTAGAAGGAAGAGGGCAGAAGAAAATTTACAAAGAGATAAATAGAGAACAAAAGGTATGATATCAGCACTTTAAAGGAGGATGAGGAAGCTAGAGAAAGGGAAGAAGCTGACTAATGGAGATGAAAAGGTTAAAAAAAAAAAGAACTGAGGGAGCTCAAGTGTTTCTGGAAAAATAGTCATTTTCAAGGAGTGTAAATGGTCAAATAAAGAAAACCCAGTGTTGAAAAGTAGTAAAATTGTATGGATAGGTCCCATGGAGAATTCATTAATCATTGTTAGAGTCATTATTTTAATTGACTATTCTGGATTACTATATGGGAACTGCTTTTTTTATCCTTTTATCTTCTTTCTGTTTCAAGACACTAAACTGAGCTCAGAGCTTATTGTAAATGTATCTATTGTGCATTTATACAAGTAAAAAGAGCAGCAAAATAAGTATCCACCACCATTCTTATTTCCATACAGCAGGGAAACTGATTTTTTAATGAAAGCTTAAGGAGGAGCTTTCCTATTCCTCCTTCCCTAGTGAGTTGCTAAATAACTTTACTGGATGGTGAATCTGGAGAAATACCCGAAACAACTGGCTTGGTCCCTTCCTTTCTCCCTCTCATTCAGAAAGTTTCTATCCCCAGGCAGGACAAACAGGTTCTCTTCTTTCTGTAGCTCTACAGTTCCATCAATGAAAAGTTGTTTAGTGGTAAACTCTCACCTGTCCTTCTTGGACTCCAAAACCATGAACTGATAGCCTGTACCTACCACAAACCAAAACATCAAAGTCCTTTCTACAGTCAGGTTCTGAACAAATTCAGAAATAAGACATGGGACTTGGAAGAAAATAAAGCATTAGCATGTGGCTCACATAATGACAATCTCCCTACAAGCACTCCTTCAAATTAAACATTCATAGCCCTTTTGCCTGCTTCCATCCTGGTAGAGCAAGAGGAAGATATCAAGCAATGAACATTCAATCCTTTTCCTAAATTTACCAATAAGTCCCTCTTTTGTCTCGGGAAAGGAGTTGAATGAGAGGAGCAGAGAAGAGCTAAAGTAAAAATAACATCCCATAATAATAAAAGCTAACATTCGTCCAGCACTTATTCCACCTAAATACCACTTATGTATTAGCATATTTGAACCTCATAACACTATGAAGTAGATTACTGTTATGTTGATTGTGCAGATGAGGACATTAAGATATGGAAAGACAAAGCAACTTCCCCAGGAGCAAGAAACAAAATTCTGCTTGAGCAGATGACCAATCTGCTTTCATCTAGAGCCCAGACAGAATACAGACAACCCAGAAGTAGCTATAAAATATGGACCTATTCACTTTGTGATTCAGTTTTTCCCAGTGAAATCTTTCAACTAACCTATCACCTTGGATTTATAACCTCCCCCATAGGTAAACTTTATATACTTTGAGACTAGAACATATTACAGTAGCAAGAACTTTGAAGTTCATGTGTTTAAAAATCTCCCAATGATAGATGAGGTAGATGAGATTCAGGATAGTCAAATTACTCGTCCAAAGTCAGAAGGCTAGTTGCACAAAGATATATGATCTGAATCTCACTCACTAGATCTTCCAAATGATAGTATTGATGTACTATCATCATTAGTACATAAATCAACTGATAAACTAAATAAAAAAGCAAAAAGATAACTATTGATATTTTCATGAAATAGCATTTCTCTTTCATAGAAATTAGACTGACTTGTTTCCTAATTGCCCCAAGTTAAAATATTACTTTCCCTAAAAAAATAATACCTTAGCTGGAGTTATAGACAAGAGAATTGGAGTAGACTCTCAATGCTGCAGGAAGTCTTATGTTGAGAATTGTTAATAGTTTTGCACCCTTTAAAACTCTGTATGTTCTCACTTTGTAATGCATCTGGTTTTATTCAACAGGAAATAAAAAGTCTCTCCAAAGTGACCTGATCAGAATTTCTCCATCTGTCTGGGGGCAGGGTGCAAGAGGACATTTTTCCTGGAGAAGGACAAGGCCTTTAGCAAGTTCCACAAAGGCACGGGAATGGCAGCCCGTCAATGCTGATGTGTGCAATAAGGGAAAACAATGTTTTACTGTTCTTAATAATAATAAAGTATGTATTTTTTCTTTTTAAATGAAAATGACATTGTAGTATTAAATCCTTTGCTTTTATATTACATTTCCACCAAACTCAAAATCATTTACAACACTCATGTGAAATAAAATTTAATGTCTCCAATTCTGTGTCTAAGGAAGTTCCAAGAACCCCAGAGTTGAGAAATCAGTAACATCACGTCTAGAACTTCACGTGTCAAACCCCCACTTTTACACTTAGACTTCCAAGTCACACTGTTTCTCATTTCTCTGAAGTGTCTGACGAGTCATCTGCTTAAAATCAGTGGCCTGCTTGAGTCCTTCGGAACCCTCCATGCTATATCCAAATCCCACAAAGTAGGTACTGTTATGTTCACTGTGCATGGGCACAATGAGGCTCGGCATAATTCTTTCAGAAGATCAGGATGGAGATGGGATTGGGCCAGATGTTCCAACAGCTCTTGCTAGAAACAAAATTACCTGTTGACTTCCTGAGGAAGTTGTGTAAGCCGATTTTTGTTCAGATTAAGCAGGATCAAATTTTGTAAACCATCTGTTAGAAAATAATATTAGTCACTGTAGCCATCTGTTAGAAAATAATTTTTCATCATTTCTCTACATACCTTTGCTTTCCTGCTGGCTTTTTGTGTTGGCCAAGGCTCTTTTGGTTCCTGCTGAAAGACACCCTCATAATTCAGCTCAAACAAAAGGGCAAACATCATGAAATTAAAAAGCTTATTCACAGTTTCTAAGGACAGAGGGTACAACCAAGTTTATCATAATTGGAAAAAGAAACTAAAAAGCACTCAGAACAAGAGATGTATCCTTTTGATACCTCTGTAGAACATATAGTTTATTTTCTCATTAAATCTTTTCTCAGCTTCATCCTCGTCCTCATATGTGTGTGTGTGTTTGTGTGTATAATGAATATATATGAATGTGTATATATATGCTCTCATCTCTGTCTCTTGTCTCTCTGACTTCTTGTCTCTCCCCATCTTTAACCTACTCTTTCTCTTTTGAATAGCTTTGATCTATTTTTCCATGTATTCACAGCCATTAGAATGTTCAGATTGCACAGGCAGAGTTCTCAGTCTCAAAAGCCACAGGAACCAAGAAGATAACCTTACACTTTGTCAACTAGTGCCACCACCACACAGCTAACACTTCACAATTGTTGTGAATGTGACTACAGTGTACTTAATCTTTCTTAAAAAAAAAAAAAAAAAAAACCCA